GAGGCCGGAGCGGCTGCTGAGCCTCGACGCCCACCAGGGACTTGCTTTCCACCGGCCTCCGTGCTAGGGGAGGCCTGGCTCTTGGTGGTCAGCCCCACCTGTCCTGCCGCTGCACAGGGGGCAGGGCTGGGAGATGGAATGTGCTTCTGGTGTTCATTTTCCTTTGTAGACTTCGCTTTGACCCCAAAAGCTGTCAGCATCTTGCTGGTGTCTTGTTACTCATCCAGACCCAGCCTGGAGCAAACACAAGACCCTGGGCTTTCTTTCTGCCCACCCCCCCCCCCGCAAAGGAACAAAGATGCGGAGTGATGGATGTGACCCTGTAGCACTGTTGGTGCCCTGTGCTGAGGCTTCAGTACCGTAGGGTTCCAGCCTCAGGTTAGCACAGACGTGACTGTCCAACGTGGCGGGAGGCTCTCCACCCACACGAGCACCAGCAGACGAGGCTGGGCGCTGCCCCCTCTGAAGCCTGTGGCTGGGGGCAGGGGTGGTGGCTCTTCACCCCAGGGGGTTCCAGGCCCCCTCTGGGCTGGTGTGTAAGGAACAGCAAGCCACCTCTGCTCACCTGGGCAGAGTCGCCTGGACCCACCCACACCTGCTGGCTCCGTCGCCATCTTGTGCTGCCGTCTCACCCCCGGGGGCCAGGCACCAAGGGCAGGGGGCCAGGTGTGTGTGATGGCTGGAGCCACCCCACCACCCCATCCACCTGCAGCCCCAACAGCCACCACACTACCCCCAGGGAGCAGGGTTCCAGCACTGGGCGCAGGGGACAGAGACCTCCTAACAGAGGCTCCTGGACAGAAAGGGCAGGAGCCAGTGAGTGAGCTCTCAACCTGCCCATGGAGGAGCCTGCCGGCCCACCCTGGATCTGCAGAGGAGGAGGGGAGCCTTGCAGGCTCTATCACTGAGCCTTCTCCTGTTTACTTCCTCCTCAAGACTCTTTTTAAAGACCCACGGTTTGTTGTATCCAGAGTGGTGCTTCCTGAACTCGGCCCAGCAGCTGGTCACAGGCCATGAAGCCCTTGGTCTGTGCCTCCCACGTGGTTCCCTGGCCTTTGAGCGACTTGGCTGTTATTTGGGGTCTCATGTATTGGACCCCCTGACACTCAGACACCGAGGCGCCTTCTGCCCTGGCTGCAAGGCCTGGAGTCCGGGTCCCCCTGGGAGCTGATTTCTGAGGGCTCGGGGGGCTCTAAGAATTCTGCCGACTTCTCAGAATCCACTCCTGCACATGTGTTCTTCCACAGCTGCTTGTGGTGGCGGTGATTCAGAGTGTGACATACACTTTGTTAATGTCACTTAAGGACAAACTTTAACATCTCTCTTCTCCTGAGAAGTGAGTCAGAACTTTGGTAACACATTTTTCACAGCATGACCACAAGGTGTTGCTCCTCTCCCAGGTCCTTCCTGGTTAGTTTTGAGAGTTTTCTACAGAAATATCAGCCAGATGCGGTGGCACACACCTATAATCCCAACGGTTCAGGAGGCTGAGACAGGAGGATCACAAGTTCAAAGCCAGCCTCAGCAATGGCAAGACACTAAGCAACTCAGTGAGACCCTCTCTCTAAATAAAATAAATAAAATAGGACTGAGGATGTAGCTCAGTGGTTGAGTGCCCCTGAGTTCAATCAAAGTTTTTTAATATGTGCATGGGTGTCTTGTGTGTGAATACATGTGTGTACCCATGTGCATGTGAATACATGTGTACATATGTGTGCGAGCATGTTGCTGTGTGCATAAATAGCTCTACTGCATAGAAAATCTCAAGTGGCAGGTGGAGTACCACCAGGGCATGGATGCCCAGGGTTTAGAAGATGCTCCCGTTACAAAGGGGTGCCAGGCTGAGCGGGCCTCCTGTACCCACCAGAGTCCTTGCACAGGGCCGTGGCTGGCGCCTGTGTGGTACATCTGGCTCAGTATTTTCCTTTGCTGCCCCCACTCGGTCCTGACAGAGGAAAGTGCATGACATTCCCACAGGCTGGAGGAGGCCAGTCTGTGAGTCCATCTGGATCAGGCCTAGGGTTCATGCTGTCCTCCTGGGAAGCTGCCCCTTGAAAACTAGAGGCCAAGGCCGAGTGAAGTCTCTCCCCTGCTCTACTCATAGACAAATGAACCTGTTGTGGTTCCAGCAGACCCAGAGACTAGAAATTCCTTGGTTCTTCTCCCCACGTCTTCCCTTGTCGGTGTCAGCGTCTCCAGGGTCTGCACTACCGTGGGGGCTATGTTTCCTGTGACTCCTGCAACAAACCTGCAGAGACACTGGCGACTTGGCGGGAGTTAGCCCCCACTGTGGCCAGGGCTGGTCTCCCCCAGCCTCTGCACTGCAGCAGCCCTCTGCCTGCACTACTGTGGCCACAACAGACCCCCCCCACGTGTCTGCCTCCAAGTCTCCTTCTCACAAGGACACTGACTGCTGGCTTAGGGCCCCCTCTCATCCACTCTGACCCCCTCTTAACTTGGGGGCCAGACAGCTGCAAAGACCCTATATCCAAATAAGGTCGTGTTCCCAGATACCAGGGGTTAGGACATGCACATATCTTTCAAGGGACACAAGTCAACCTATGGTGAGAGTGAACGTTCATGGCTAACTGTGGAGCTGGAGGGAGTGTAGGAGCACAGTGTCTTGGGCCACACTCTGCTCGAAGATCCGTTGCTCCGGTTGGTAGAACATATGACGTCTGCACATGACTGCATGCTCGTGAGCTTGGGGCCTGGTTTGCCTGGTAGCATCTAGGTAAGCGGTAGTGCACCGACTCTGTTCACCTTGGGCAGAATTGGGGGGCTCACATATGAAGTGCTCTCTGGGGAAGCGGGCCGTGGCGGGACTTGCACGTGTGTTTTGCCCTCGAGACAATGGAGCGCACTGGCCCATGGTCCACAGTGCCTCCGTGGACCATGGTGCCACAGGTTAGGTGCCGCAGGCCAGGGCGCTCTGCAAATGAGCCTCCTGGTCTCCAGCAGGACGTGAGAGTCATCCATGCCAGGCCTGAGCCCTCCCTCCTCTCCCGGCGTGCTCACTGCCATAGGTGAGCACAGCGAGTTCTCACGTCTGAACAGATCAGTCGTGTTGTGTTCCAGTCCAGCTACGGGCTCTGTGTGGGGTGGGCAGGGCCGGGGAGTTCCTGAGACCGGCAGTGTGCTGCCTTCGGGGGGTTTACCAGCACTGGCTTCAGACACAGCCCAACTGCACGCGGGAGAACAGCAGACCAGGACGCCCCAGCTCCCACTCTGCCCTCCAGCCCCAGTGCTGGCACCTGCCTCTGTGTGGCAGCTCTGTCCTCTGCTGGGCCACGGGGCAGGGTGGATGGAGTGCGTGTCCCTGCAGGACCAGCTCCAAGTTGTGCCCGTGGCCACTCTCCAGGCCCCTGGGGCCACCTGCTGCTCTCCTGGCCCACGGGGCGCAGCACACTGAGATCTCCCTGATCAGAGAGTAGAGCAGAGAAACCGGCCTTGAAAGAAGGAGCTGGGAAGAGCCACCCGCTGCCAGGCGCCAGGTGCAGGGAGACACCCAACCAAATCCTTTCAGGATTCTCCTTAGAATCTCCATTTCACTTAGCAAACACACAGCAGCAGTTTCCATGGGCCAGGCATGTCCTACCCATCTTGAAACACTAGTTTATCCTCATTATGACCTTGCTGAGCAGTATTCACACCTTCCTTTCATTGATGAGAAGCCTGAAGCACAGAGAGGCTAGGAGACACACCCATGGTCACACAGCTGATAAGCAACCAGAGTGTGCACCCTGAGGTCTCCCTCCAGGCTGTGCCTTCCCCGTCTCCAGAAGGGAAGAATGTATAGTCAAAGCCATGCACACCCAGGGTCCTGGGCTAGAGGCTTCAGGAGATGAGAGGTTGGTCTGGAAAAGAGTAGAGCAAAGCAAGTGCAGAGTGAGACCTGGGGGTCTCTGCGGCTGGTGGGCAGCCACGTTGCTGCCCAGAGGTGCTGGGCGGGTCTGGAAAGGTGCACCTTGGCTCCCTTAGCTTCGGAAGCTGCCCTGCCCGTGGGCGCTGTGAGGAGGCACACGGGCCAGGCAGTGTCGGTGAT